GTTGGTTGCGAGGGGCTGGGGGTAGGAAGCAGTGAGGAGTTACTGGTTTAATGGATACAGAGTCTTAGTTTCGCAAGATGCAAAGAGTTCTAGAGATAGATGATGGCAGTTAATGCTGATGAACTACACACTTAAAGAATGGTTAATGTGGTAAATGTTATATGTGTTATACTGCAATTAAAAAAACACTATTAAGAAAAACAGTCTAATGTTCACTATTCTTCGAATCCTACTTGGCTACATAAGAATGGGCCTTGAGCCTAAAACACCTGCTTACCAACAGATAAAGAGCCCATATAGCATATGCTGGGCTGGGTTTACCTCCCTGTTTGGGGATATCTTTCCCTGTTTTAGGCTCCATGTGTACTCCTTTGTCCTGCATAAGCATTTCTGACACCACAGGAGTGGGGGTTGGGTGGAGGATCCTTTTGGTGCAGCACAAGGAATGTGTGTAGGTCAAAGGCCCTGCATACACTGTCAGGAAGGACCTGCTGTTGGCCACAAGGAAATGACACTCACTACCAAAATTAATCTTTCTATGTCTCTCTTTTTTTTTTTATGTGAGTAAAGCACTGGTAAATCCAGTGCTTCATAGTACTATGTTTTCCTAGGCAACTCCATACTAAGATGCAGTGGGCAGAAGTGCTTGGACTTCTGATAATCAGCAACAGAGGACACTTGACCATAAAAACTACTCACAAACAAAACCCAGAACCAAATGGCTTCACTGGTGAATTCTAACAAATGTTTAAAGAAGAATTAACATTAATCCTTCACAAATTCTTTCAAAAACTAGAAGAGGATAAAACACTTTCCAACTCCCTCTTTGAGGATAGAATTATCATGACACCAAAATCAGACAATGACATTATAAGAAAATAATACTGTAGATCAATATTCCTTAAGTATATAAAGGTAGGGGTGCCTGGGTGACTCAGTTAAGTGTCGGCCTTCGGCTCAGGTCATGATCCCTGGGGTCCTGGGATCCAGCCCCATATTGGGCTCTCTCCTAGGCAGGAGCTTGCTCCTCCCTCTCCCTCTGCCTACCACTCCCCCTTCTTGTGCACTCTCTCTCTCTCTCTCTGTCAAATAAATAAATATATTTTTAAAAAGGATATAAATATAAAAATTAAAACATATACAGCAAATTGAACCCAGCAACATATAAAAAGGATTATATGTTATGTCCAAGTGGAATTATCTCAGCAATACAAGATGGGTTCAACATGCAAAAATCAATTAATGCAATACACCATAATTATAGGATAGTGGATTTAAAAAGCATGATCATTTCTTTTTTAAAAAAAGATTTATTTATTTGAGAGGAGAGAGGGAGAGTGTGCACACACATACACATGGGGGGGGCAAAGGAAGAAGGAATCTTTTTTTTAAGATTTTTATTTATTCATGAGAGAAAGAGAGAGAAAGAGAGAGAAAGGCAGAGACACAGGTGGAGGGAGAAGCAGGCCCATGCAGGGAGCCCGACGTGGGACTCGATCCTGGGTCTCCAGGATCAGGCCCTGGACTGAAGGTGGCGCTAAACCACTGAGCCACATAGGCTGCCCAGAGGGAGAGAATCTTAAGCAGACTCGGCACTGAGAATGGAGGCTGATGTGGGGTTCAATCTCACAACCCTGAGATCATGACCTTAGCTGATATCAAGAATTGGATGCTTAACCAACTGGCCCACCCAGGTGCCCTACATGATCATTTCAATAAATACAGAAAAACCAATTGACAAAATCTAATGTCTTTTCAATATAAAAATACTCAATAAGCTTGGAAGAGGAGACTTTCACAACCTGATAAAGGCCATCTACTAAAAACTCACAGCTAAAACCACACTTAATGGTGAAAGACTAAAAGCTTTCCTTCTAGGATCAGGAGCAAAAGGAAGATGTCTACTTTTACCACTTCTATTTGACATCGTAGCCAGGATAATCAAGCAAGGAAGAGAAAAAGCATCCAGACTGGAAAGAAAGAAGTAAAACTAGATCTATTTGCAGATGGCATGATCTATATAGAAAACCCTAAGGAATTTTAAAAAACCTATTACGGTTAAGAAACAAGTTTAGAAAGGTAGCAGGATACAAGATCAGTATACAAAAATCACTGATATATCTATACACTAGCAATGAACAATTCAAAAATGAAATTAAAAGTTCAATTTACAATAGAATAAAAGATTTAGGAATAAATTTAACAAAAGAAATGTAAAACTTGAACACTGAGACCTATATAGCATCACTGAAAAAAATTAAAGAGGATATAAATAAATAGAAAGATACTGTGTCTTCATGGAGTGGAAGACTTAATATTGTTAGGTTGGCAATACTCCCCAGTTTGATGAATAAATTCACTGGAATCTGTACCAAAATCCTAGCTTGATTTTTTTGGTGTGTAAATTTTTGGCAAGCTGATTATAAAATTCATATGAAAATGCAAGGAACCCAGAATGGCCAAAATAATCTTGAGAAAGAATAAAGTTGGAGTACTCACGCTTAATTTTTTTTTTTACTTATGCTTAATTAAAAAATCTTATTACACAGCTAAAATAATCTAGAATAATAAGGTAAAAGCAAGCAAGTACAGTCTGGTACTGCCACAAGGATGGGCAAATAGATCAGTGGAATAGAATCAAGAGCCCAGAAATGCATTTCATGGTCAATAAATTTGTGACAAGAGGGCCAAGAAAATTCAATGGGAAAGAATAATCTTTTTAACAAATGGTGCTAGGATAACTGGATATTCACATGTAAAAGAATGGATGTGGATTCTGTATCATATACAAAAATTAACTCAAAATGGATCAAAAACTTAAGTGTAACAGTGAAAATTATAAAACTCTTAGAAGAAAACAGGTGTACATTTTCATGACTTTGGATAATTTCTTATATATAGTATCTAAAACATAAATAACCAAAGAAAAGACAGATGAACTGAACTTCACCAAATTTTACTTTTGTGCTTCAAAGGACACTATCAAGAAAATGAAAAGACAACTCACAGAATGGAAGAAAATATTTGCAAATCATACATTTGATAAGAGTGTAGTATCCAGAATATTAAAAGAATTCTTTCAACTCAACAATAAAAACACAAGTAATCCATGTAAAGACAAAGGATTTGAATACACATTTCTCCAAGGAAGAGATACACATGGCCAATAAGCACATGGAAATATTGTCCATGCCATTAGTCATTAGAAAATCTAAATCAAAACTAAAAAGATACCATTTTTCACCAGGCTATAATAAAAAGACACACAATAACAAGTGTTGGCAAAGATGTGGAGGAACTGGAACTCTCTGTTACTGCAGCCTTGAAGGCAACATGGTGTGAAATAGAATGTCACAGTTTGGCAGTTCCTCAAAAAAACTAGAGTTACCATATAACCCAGTAATTTAACTCCTAGATATATACACTCAAGAGAACTTAAAACATATGTCCACACAAAAACTTGTACACAAACACACAGAGCAGCATTATTCACAACAGCCCAAAAGTGGAAACACCTAAATGCCCATCAACTGATGAATGAATGAAGGAAATGTGGTACGTCCACGCAATGGATTATCATTTGGCCATAGAAAGGAATGAAGGACTGATACGTGCTACAACATGGATAAATCTTAAGAATGTTATGTTAAGGGGCAGCCTGAGTGGCTCAGGGGTTTAACGCCACCTTCAGCCCAGGACATGATGTGACCCTGGAGACCCACATCGGGCTCCAAGGATCAAGTCCCACATCGGGCTCCAAGCATGGAGCCTGCTTTACCCTCTGCCTGTGTCTCTGCCTGTCTCTCTTTCTCTGTCTCTCATGAATGAATGAATGAATGAATAAATAAAATCTTAAAAAAAAAGAACATTATGTTAAGTATAAGAAGCTAAACACAAAGGCCACACATGATTCCATTTACATAAAAAGTCCAAGATAAGGAAATCTAGAGGGAGAAAATAGTTTATTTGTTGCCACAGACTAGGGGAAAGAGAGAATAGTGAGTGGCTGCTAGTGGCTAAGGAGTTGGTTTCTGGGATTTTGTAATTAGTGTATTTTGTAATTAGTGATGATGAGGTTGCACAACCTTGTGATATACTCAAAACCACTGAATTGTATATTAAAATGGTGAATTTTATGGTGATTAAATATGCCATCTCAATAAATACATATTTTAATGAAGTTGAATTTAGAACACATGATATACCTTATTATAGTATCAAGGTACCAGCACTGGCTTGTTAAAAAGTCTTGCAAGGCATGAACTAGGTGATTCAGTAATATACTGAGAATCCCCCAAATGAACTAAATATATAAAAAAAGGTTGAGTTTTAAAGGGCTAGACATTGAAAAACTGAATATGTACAATCTAAAGATGGCTTTGATTTAAAATAGGTAAATAACATGGTAATATCATTTCAGGAATAGGGTACCAGGAAATCTGCATTTTGCCAAAATCTTCAGATCAAGAAAGAGTTACCAACATAGAAATGAATGAAAAATACATATGAAAGGAAACGGCTGGAGTCCAAAGAAAACTAAACACATCTTGGCTAAACAGCTGTGTTGAAAAACAATTTCTTATCTTGCAATTAAGAACCGATTTCTTTCTAAAAGACACAGGACATTGGGTTAATAGATTTCTTTAAAAGAAAATCTGTTTTGGCTATTGAAACATTAAAAGAACAGAACATCTGTTTTGCAAGTAAAGACAGATTGTATGGAAGAATCAAATATCAAACCACCGATTAGACCAGCATTTAATCTGTTCTATTTAAATTTTCAATAAAAGTAAATGAAATTACATTCTTGAAATTATAGCTCAGCTCTAAATATTTAACATCAGGAACCTCTAACACTGAGATGTTTTAGAGTATAAAGGAGGTCATTATTGGTATATTTTAATTATTTTTAATTCTACATGACATTTATATCAGAAGCAGGTTTTAAAGCACTCTACCTCCCAAATCATTTTTAAAGTATTATAATAGGGAAAACTCACCATCCATGAATTCTGTACATATTGAAATCCTGTTTTCTACGAAAAATGCACCATAAAACCCTATGATATATGATGAATCACACTGTAACAAAAAGAAGACAAAAATAGTTAAAAAGAAAAAAAAAACTGCCAGCCAATACCATAAGATGCTTTATGGGGGGAAAGAAAAAAGACCAAGAAAAAATTACCTTATAAAGAATTTCCAATTCAGACATAATTTGCTTCTGAAGTTCCAGTGTAATATCTAGTAGTATGACCTAAATACAGAAAGGAATCAACATTCACATATATATTCACCTTTAAATTAAATATAGCTATATTCACCATGAAATTTAAAAAGGAAAAAATATGGTGTTTCCTCTATTCATTGCCCCTTGCTCCTCTCCACTACTATAACCCCCAGGAATAAAACTGCACCCACATCTGCCTAACCCTTTGTACTGGGGGAGGTGGTATAGAAGTGATTGATGGGACCAAGGAAAAAGCCAGGTCTCAAAGGTCAGTATTAATGGCTTTAAAAGTCAGTTAAGTTATAACACCCTTAATTTATATACCCTATTTTGGCCACATTGGTTATTTCCAGAAAACGGAGAAAGGAATGACCCTGAAACCATTAAAAGAAAAATTGTCTTGTTCAAATACTAGGTGATAAGCAGAGAGGATGATGAGTAAAAATGATATTTAAGGTGGGCTTTTTAGTTAATGGAGTTTTAAAAATACAGTATTTGTTTATATCCTTCAAAATCATGTTTCTTTGCTAATACTATAATAAAATGCTGGAGCTTGAAGGAACCACAGAAATTATTTCATTTAATTTTCTTGTTTTATTATTTTTTTTAATTTTTTTTTATTGGAGTTCAGTTTGCCAACATTTAGCATAACACCCAGTGCTCATCCCGCCTAATTTTCTTGTTTTAAAGGAGGAAACCAAGGTACTGAGAAGCCACACAGTCTGGCAATGTCAGGGTCCCTCCCTGACTCCCAGGACGCCTCTTACAATGTCCCGGTGGTTTATGGTTTTCCTTAAAGTACCAACCACTGAGAAAGACTCATAACATGGAAATGTAAAATAATTTACAAACTTAGAATAAATTCTAATTTATTTCAAACACTTGTTTCTTAAGAAAGGAGACCATCAATTGTTCAAATTTTACTGAACAGTTCAGTGAAGCCAATTCAAGGGAAATTGTTTTTACTTAAAAAAGATAGTGTTGAGAATAAAATAGGTGAAAGATAATTTTTAAGATTTGTGGCAGAGTTTCTAACTCTAGACATTTCTAAAATTTTTTTTTAATTTTTATTTAATTATGATAGTCACAGAGAGATAGGAAGAGGCAGAGACACAGGCAGAGGGAGAAGCAGGCTCCATGCACCGGGAGCCTGACGTGGGATTCGATCCTGGGTCTCCAGGATCGCGCCCTGGGCCAAAGGCAAGCGCCAAACCGCTGCGCCACCCAGGGATCCCCTGACTCTAGACATTTCTAGATAAAAACTTAACATTCATGGATACAATAGTGCAGTTATACACTATCCAACACTAAACCACATTTTGTATTACAACTGGAGAATATATATACTCATACTGGAAAATTACCATAAGTTATGAATTGCAAACTGCTGATAGAGTAAGAAAAGAAGAGGATAATTCTAAAGCACACATTTTATAGTACTGACATTCATTTGAGGGAGGGAGAAGTGAGGGGGGAAAAAGGCACGGCCAGTTTCTATCAAGAGTTTTTGCTTTAGGGTTATTTATAAAAGCTCTCACTAAACCAGATTGTAAGTGTAATACAAAACTGCCAAGAAACATTTAAACATTTCTCCTGATCAATAGTTGTTTGCCAACAATAATCACTTACATTTTTGTTCCTGTATAAAACTCAGTGACAAAATGAATTCATCTAGTGTGTTTCAATTCCAGGCCACAAAATATCGAAACAATTCACACCACTATGTCAAGGGGACATACAGGGACTCTCACTCCAAAAAACTAAAAGGAATGAACTTATTATCACCTTAGAGCAGTGATCCTCAAACCCGGCCTCATATTATAATTACTTTTATATGAAAGTATTTATACCAATACATGAAGGTACTTTAAACAAATCCTGGTGCACTGGTCTTACCCCAGAAGAATGGAATCAATCTTTGGTTGGGATCACATCACATTTTATTATTCTTAAAAAACTCTCCACCTGATTTCTAATGCACAGTAAGGTTGAGAACAACTTATCCAAGGTTTCAAAAATGCCATTTAGGGGGGAGGGGCAAGATGGCGGAAGAGCAGGGTCCCCAAATCACCTGTCCCCACCAAATTACCTAGATAACCTTCAAACCATCCTGAAAATTTACGAATTCGGCCTGAGATGTAAAGAGAGACCAGCTGGAATGCTACAGTGAGAAGAGTCCGCGCTTCTATCAAGGTAGGAAGACGGGGAAAAAGAAATAAAGACACAAAAGGCCTCCGAGGGGGAGGGGCCCCGCGAGGAGCCGGGCTGAGGCCGGGGCGAGTGTCCCCAGGACAGGAGAGCCCCGTCCCGTCCCGGAGGAGCAGGAGCTGCACCAACCTTCCCGGGCGGGCGGAAAGGGGCTCGCAGGGAGGTGGAGCAGGACCCAGGAGAGCGGGGATGCCCTCGGGCTGCCGGGGACACTAACAGACACCTGCGCCCCGGGAGAGTGCTCCGAGCTCCCTAAGGGCTGCAGCGCGCACGGAGGGACCGACCGGAGCAGCTCGGAGGGGCTCGGGCGGCGGCTCCGCGGAGGGGGCTGCGGGGCGGGAGCGCGAATCCAACAGCGCAGGCCCCGGAGCACAGGGCGCCGGGACACAGCCCAGGATCCGGCCTCCCCCTGGGACAGGCAGAGGCCGGGAGGGCCCAGGACAGCGAGGACGCTCCTGCCCGGAGCTGAGCAGATCAGCGGCCCCGCCCCGGAGCCTCCAGGCCCAGCGGACGGAGAACCGAGAGCCCCGAGCCCCGTAGTTCCTGCGGAGGCTGAATCCAGGCTTCCAGAGTTGCCATAGCAACTGCTGCTGTTCCTCCTGGGGCCTGACGGGGTAAACAACCCCCGCTGAGCCCTGCAGCAGGCAGGGGCAGAGCAGCTCCCCCAAGTGCTAACACCTGAAAATCAGCACAGCAGGCCCCTCCCCCAGAAGACCAGCTAGACGGACCAGTGATACTCCCCCGTGTTCCAATACAACTTGTTTTTGGCCACTCTGCACTGAGCAAAATGACTAGAAGGAAAACCTCACTTCAAAAGAAAGAATCAGAAACAGCCCTCTTTCCCACAGAGTTACAAAATCTGGATTACACTTCAACGTCAGAAAGCCAATTCAGAAGCACCATTATACAGCTACTGGTGGCTCTAGAAAAAAGCATTAAGGCCTCACGAGACTTCATGACTGCAGAATTTAGATCCAATCAGGCAGAAATTAAAAATCAATTGAATGAGATGCAATCCAAACTAGAAGTCCTAACGACGAGGGTTAACGAGGTGGAAGAACGAGTGAGTGACATAGAAGACAAGTTAATGGCAAAGAGGGAAACTGAGGAAAAAAGAGATAAACAAAGAACCATGAAGACAGATTAAGGGAAATAAATGACACTCTAAGGAAGAAAAACCTACGTTTAATTGGGGTTCCCGAGGGCGCCGAAAGGGACAGAGGGCCAGAATATGTATTTGAACAAATCCTAGCTGAAAACTTTCCCAATCTGGGAAGGGAAACAGGCATTCAGATCCAGGAAATAGAGAGATCCCCCCCTAAAATCAATAAAAACCGTTCAACACCTCGACATCTAATAGTGAAGCTTGCAAATTCCAAAGATAAAGAGAAGATCCTTAAAGCAGCAAGAGACAAGAAGTCCCTGACTTTCATGGGGAGGAATATTAGGGTAACAGCAGACCTCTCCACAGAGACCTGGCAGGCCAGAAAGGGCTGGCAGGATATATTCAGGGTCCTAAATGAGAAGAACATGCAACCAAGAATACTTTATCCAGCAAGGCTCTCATTCAAAATGGAAGGAGAGATAAAGAGCTTCCAAGACAGGCAGGAACTGAAAGAATATGTGACCTCCAAACCAGCTCTGCAAGAAATTTTAAGGGGTACTCTTAAAACTCCCCTTTAAGAAGAAGTTCAAGTAACTCTGAACGTGAATGGGCTTAATGACCCCATCAAAAGGCACAGAGTTTCAGACTGGATAAAAAAAACAGGACCCATCTATTTGATGTCTACAAGAGACTCATTTTAGACAGAAGGACACCTACAACCTGAAAATAAAAGGTTGGAGAACCATTTACCATTCAAATGGTTCTCAAAATATACCCTAAAAACTACAGAACACTTCTGAAAGAAATTGAGGAAGACACAAAGAGATGGAAAAATATTCCATGCTCATGGATTGGCAGAATTAATATTGTGAAAATGTCAATGTTACCCAGGGCAATTTACACGTTTAATGCAATCCCTATCAAAATACCATGGACTTTCTTCAGAGACTTAGAACAAATTATTTTAAGATTTGTGTGGAATCAGAAAAGACCCCAAACAGCCAGGGGAATTTTAAAAAAAGAAAACCATATCTGGGGGCATCACAATGCCAGATTTCAGGTTGTACTACAAAGCTGTGTTCATCAAGACAGTGTGGTACTGGCACAAAAACAGACATATAGATCAATGGAACAGAACAGAGAACCCAGAAGTGGACCCTGAACTTTATGCTCAACTAATATACGATAAAGGAGGAAAGACGATCCACTGGAAGAAAGACAGTCTCTTCAATAAATGGTGCTGGGAAAATTGGACATCCACATGCAGAAGAATGAAACTGGACCACTCTCTTGCACCATACACAAAGATAAACTCAAAATAGATGAAAGATCTAAATGTGAGACAAGATTCCATCAAAATCCCAGAGAAGAACTCAGGCAACACCCTTTTTGAACTTGGCCACAGTAACCGGAGAAGGACAAACAGTATATGTTCTCATTCATTTGGGGAATATGAATAATAGCGAAAGGGAATATAAGGGAAGGGAGAAGAAATGTGTGAGAAATATCAGAAAGGGAGACAGAACATAAAGACTTCTAACTCTGGGAAATGAACTAGGGGTGGTGGAGGGGGAGGAGGGTGGGGGGTGGGGGTGAATGGGTGACGGGCACTGAGGGGTACACTTGACGGGATGAGCACTGGGTGTTATTCTGTATGTTGGTAAATTGAACACCAATAAAAATTAATTTATAAAAAAAAATGCCATTTATTCAG